AATACCTGTGGAGTACATGCTTGTTGCTGCTGTGTTGCTGCTGCTAAATTGATTTAACCACAAATTAACCAAAACAATGATTCTAACACACCTAACCAACTAAACATGCATTGGTTTTTCAGAGGAATATGGAGGAGCGTTTTATATGTGCATTCAGAGGAATATAGAGGAGTGTTTTTTATGTGCATTCCTGCCTCCTCTGTCTTTAATCCTCATAGTTACAAGTGAACTCTGCAGATGGTTTAAGTATGCCATGACTTGCTCCAGGAACTCTGAATCCTGGAGCAGCCACTAATTTTTTAAAATCAGAAAAACTTAGAACTGGAAGGAACCACAAGGTCATCTAATCTAACCCCCTACTATGCAAGAATACATTTCTGAAAGATGTCCAGCCATCCTTTGTTTAAAGATCTCATAGAAAATCATAGAAAGAGAGTCCAATACCCTATAAGGCAGTCATTCCACTCTCAAACAGCTCTTCTGATGTCCATTCCACTCTCAAAGAAGTTCTTCCTAAAATTTAGATGGAATCTCTTTCCTTGTAATTTGAATCCTTTGGTTCATCTTCCACTCTCTGGAGCACCAGAAAATGATCTTCCTCTGTCTTGTACATGACATAATTTCAGATATTAAAATATAGCTACCATATCACCTCTCACTTCGCTTCTCCAAGCTGAACATACCCAGCTCTCCATGTTCCCTGAGGAACATGCATCTGAGGAAGTAGTCTGAAGTCTACAAAAGCTCATGTTTCTTTCTTTCAGTTAGTCTCAAAGGTGCTACCAGATCCCTTTGTTTTCTGATTTTCCTGACTAACATGGCTATACCTTTGAATTCTACCAACTCCCCAAGTAATTCCTTGTAAGGCTTGGTTTCCAGAGTTTTTATCATCTTGGCCACTCTTCTGTGGATGTGTTCCAGCTTGTCAAAATCCTTCTTGAGTTGGGATGCCCAGAACTTGACAAGTATTTTAGGCAAGGTCTGACCAAAGGAGAATAGAGTGGCACTACTACCTTCCCTGATCTGGACACTACCCTCCTAGGTCTATATTCCTAACTCAACTCCTTAGAAAACATTTTGAAATGTGGTGAAGTGTTGCCTCTGCAGATATTTTGAACTCCACTTCCAACAAGTCCCAGACTAAATGGCCAAAGGATTATTGGAGCTGCAGATTAAAGTGTCTGGAGAACCAAAAGACCCCTCCCCGGTCATTTTAATGACATATTTTAGGATCTGATACCTTCTAATTTTCTGTATTAGTAGTTAGTTAATCCTATGGAGAGCCAGCACGATGTAGTGGTTTGAGTGTTGGACTATGACTCTGGGTTTGATTCCCCACTTCAGAATAAAAACCCACTGAGTGATCCTGAGCAAGTCACACACTCTCAGCCTCAGAGGAGGGCAATGGCCAACCCCCTCTGAAGAAACTTGCCAAGAAAACCCTATTATGATAGATTCACCTTAGGGTTGCCATAAGCCAAAAAAGACTTGGAGGCAAACGACAGCAACAAGAAGTTAGTCCTATGGCCATTTTGGTGGGCAGTTTCAAGGTCATTACAGAAACTCTCTCTATGAATCTATAGCTCTCCATCTTTACTGACATCACTCTGCTTATTTATGACCTGACCATAAATAATTTACTTGCTTTTCTCAGTCTGAGGATCTCCGCACTTAGGTTAAAAGCTGAAATAGGGGGGAAAACATGATTAAATTAGCCAGTACTGCAACTCTTCCCATGCTGAACAAAACGTGGCATACTATGCTGTGCAGTCTAACCACAAACTGATTGATGAATGTTGGCTTTTTAGGATAAGGATATTTTGAGAAAATGCAGCTTCCCTTGGGTTATAGTGTTATCTTGATTTTTATTTCAATGATATATATATATATTGTTGGTTGTTGTGTGCCTTCAAGTCATTTCAGACTTATGGCAACCCTAAGGCAAATCTATTACAGGGTTTTCTTGGCAGAATTTGTTCATAAGAGGTTTTCCTTTGCCTTTCTCTGAGGCTGAGAGCATGTGACTTGCCCAAGGTTGCCTAGTGGGTTTCCATGACTGAGCAGGGATTTGAACCCTGATCTCCAGAGCCTTAGTCCAATACTCAAACCACTACATCATGCTGTCTCTCCCATGTACATACATGTTCATTTGTGGGTGTGTAGCCCCAAATCAAATGTATAAGAGTATATACATTTTAAAAGGTCTTGATTAATCTCTTACTCTTTAAGCCCTTTTAAAAAATAAAATACAAGCTGTTGCATAGCCTTAACAGATGAAAACCAGGATATCTATGGCCAAGCACCATCAGAGTGTAGTCAAGATAGTAAAGTTATGAATGAAGAAGAACAGACAAGCTAAGAGAGACTGCAGGAGTTTGCTTTTGCCTGGCAGGCTGGTAAGGGTAAGACTCTGGGCCTTTGCAGACTGCCAGAAATAGTGCACATTAAATTG